TTCGATCACGATGAATTGTGTGCCTTTGACACTGCACGTTTGATCCTCCAATCTATCGTAATCACGATGAATTGTGTGCCTTTGACACTGCACGTTTGATACTCCAATCTATCGTAAATTGACAACAACTCATTTTGGAAGCAATACCAGATATAAGAAAACTCCCTCTCGTTTAGTTAACTCATCTTAAGGTATTCAATTTGATCCCCGGTTGGTTTATGATGAGTTAACTCATCAATGCCGTTTGATCCAACTAACTATTAAGATATATACTTTCTTTCTTAATAGAAAACTACTCCCTTCCTCCTACTCCCTTTCTTTCTTAATAGCTTTCTTTTTATTTCCTTTTGATGCTTGTGGATTTTAAATGATTCAATGGATTTTTCTAAGGCGAGGAGGAAGGGAATTATCACCCTCCTTTGCTCCTTGAACTGCTATTCTTAGCCAAATTATCACCCTCCTTAAGGCAATTAGCATTTTCCTGGTCACCAAAGTGTTCGATTTTAAGCTTTATCATAGTGCTAATTAAAAAGATTCATAAATTTATAGAAAAAGAATAAGAGAAGAATATGCGTTATTGATATCCCTTTCATTATTACAAAAAAATAAAAATTATGTACCTCCTAGATTCTTAGTGTCCCACAGGTCTTGCGTTTGGTTTGCAATCTATCGTGTTTCAATATAATAGAATAACTCCAGGAATAACATATTTATACAAGCATAGTGCTATTTATTAAAAGAAGAGCAACCTTTTTTTTTTGTTTTTGTTTTGTTCTTTCTCTTATATGTGGCTTTGATTTCTTTCTTAGAAATCTTCTCCTCCCAAGTAACACGCCAAAAAGGTATTCAATCAAATGTATATTCCATATACCATCGATAAGAAGAAATCCAAAGTTGGTTTAAAAAAATTAAAATTAAAATTTTAAAAAGCCAATTATCCCTAAACACATTTATAGAATCACCACATCCAATTATATAATTAAAACCATTAGCCAAATCAGCCATGAACTTAGTAAATATTCTCCGACCCATCTAGATTTTTTGTTTGTGTTACGGGAATGACCTTTTTTTTTTTTTTAATATTTAGCTAATACCACAAATTTCCGCAAGTAGTATTTCAAGGGTATAACCTTCCTTCCATATTTAGCTAATGCCACATTATCCCACAAACATTGTTTCAAAGAGATAACCTTTCATATTTAGCTAATGCCACATTATTCCACAAGCACTCCATTAACATAAAAGAGTAGATGTGTTTTACATGTGAACCAGAAGTGATATACAGATCATGAATATCAAACCTAAATTAGACTTGGTCTTTTTTTTTTTGATATTACAAATCTCTCATTGATTTTTCAATAATGTTTATGGCCTTCTTGGCATCCATGTAACACTAGATATATGTATAGATGTTGATAGAATCAATTTGATTAGAGTGAGACACCAGCTTGGGGTAGCTTAGATATGAAACAATTTCTAATTTGTTTTATATTTGATTAAATTGAGTTTCAAAAGCTGTAATCGGAGGTTTACAAGGGCATATCATGGCACCGAGACATTTGAATGAAAATTTTCTTTTCGAGATGTTAAGTGAAGTGCAAAATTTGTTCTCTAATTGACCTATAGGAGTATTTATAAGAAAGAAAGAAATTTTCTGATTTTTAGTGACTACTTTTATGAATTCTTAATTTTTCATATGCATAATTTTGTTTTTGTAGAGGAGTAATATTTTTTTATTAGCCTTGAAAGCCTATAAGATGGTTGATGATTAAAATTAATCACATCAAATTGAAATTGAAGCTATAAGAAGGGTCACATGAGACTGTGTCACACCTATGGAATCTTATAAGAGTGTATCGATAGAGAGAAGCCTCTGCTTCGTCATAATGATTAATCATAGATTTGGACACCTTTACCTTCTCTTTTTTCAAGACCATTTGTCTTCCCTTTACTAATAGAGTAGAATTCTAGCTCAAATCATCGTGCTTACTAAAGCCTTGATTAGCCTCACCAAATAGGTATAATCTCTAATTGAGATGATGCATATCATCATCCCCTTTATCTATAATTGACATAGCTAATAGCAGCGCATATTCCTGACTGCTAATCAGCCATAATAAAAATATTGCACATCGGTTAGCAATTGAATCGATTACATAATTACTTCCTCAACTATCGCAATCTTTTCCTCGACAATGCAATTCGATTCAGCTCAACTGCCTCTACATAAATAAATATATGGCACACCAGACCAGACAAATGAGACAAGAACCTTTCCCAATGGCAATTCGAGAACGACCATAGATTCCCTTCCCTTTCCGGGAAATGATGGGGATATAAAGAGGAATAACCTTTGTATATGAATAAATACTAGAAGACCATAATATGCAGCGAAATTAAATAGAAACACAATCAAATAGAACATCAAGATATACGTGGAAAACCCCTTCAATGTGAAGGGTAAAATCCACAGGACAAACTAGAGATAATCCACTATGAGAATAATGAATATATAAATCTCAATCTCTTGCCCTAAACCCTAGCAACAACCACAAGAGAATAACTAGGATACAAGGATCACGTCACTGCCCACAATATCTAAAACCTCCCCAAGTAATCACAGAAAGAGTCTACTGTAGATTTGATCTAATCTGAGATGAGAACACTACTAGATGATTGAGAACAGTCTCTCTGCATTGTCCTTGTCTTCTTCCCTTTCTTTCTCTTCCTTTTCTGCCTTGTTCTCCTTCTTCTCTTTGGAATCCCGTGGCTCTCAAGATCTGCCTCGTTGCTGCCTTTTTATATCCTTTTTCTGCTTCTAAAACGCAGCCACCACACCCCTTAATCTT